ACTGGTTTAGTGGTGGCCTTGGCAGTGTTAGGTGAATGGTTGGACTGGATGATCTTGAAGGTCTTTTCCAACCGAAACGATTCCATGATTCTATGTTTGGGTTGTAGAAGACAAGTGAGGGCGGCCTCCTGAGTGGCTCAGTCCTCTGCATAGCAAGGGCAGGAGCAATCTCCTCCTTGACCGTCCCCCTGCAAGTTCAAATATGTCGGTGGCTTCTTTGGGGAAGAGCTTGAGTCCTGGCCGAGTCAAAATAAACCTAATTACAGGGACAGGATGATGTAGAAAAGGTCACATCTGCCTGAACGCCCGTAGCTGCTCCTGGTACGCGTTTGAGTCCTCTTGCCTTGTTCTGGTCCAGTACCAGAGAAGGTCTTGGTGGGCACCAAGGTGAGCCAGCAACATGTCCTCATGGCAGGGATGGCCGCCAGCCTCCTGGGCGAGGAGGAGGTGATCCCCTGGAGCGCTGGGCTCCCAGTACAAGAGGTGGGGATATACTGGAGCGAGTTCAGCAAGTGGTGAAGGGCCTGGCGCATCTCTTGTATGTGGAAAGGCTGAGAGAGCTGGGACTGTTCGGCCTGGAGCGGAGGAGGCTTGGGGGGATTTTATTAATGTGTATAAACCCCTCGTAAGGGGAGTGAAGAAAAAAAGGAGGATCTGTGTTCTTCCCAGTGTCAGGACAGGAGGCAACGGGCACAACCTGAAACAGGGGGACTGGTGTTCAAGCCTAATAAACTTTCTTTAGCGTGAGGATGGTCAAACGCTGGACGGGCTGCCCCGGAGGCCACAGATTCTCCATCCTTGGCGATGCTCAAAGCCTGGCTGGATGCGGTCCTGACCCTCTGCTTCCCCTCGGTACTCTTGGCCAAGCCTCTCTGCCCATAAATGCGTGGCTGTTAAGGACGGAGGGTTGGGGAAACCCAGCGGTTACGGGCTGTGAAAGGGCTGCAGCCTGCTCCCGAGGCCGCGGGGCATTTGCTGGGATTTAAAAACTGTTTTTAAGCAGCCGCCGCTGTAATCCCATCGCTGCCAGGTCAGGAGCCGAGCTGCTGTTTCACTGGCTGAGCGACTTCACATTGCGCTGAAGGGCTGGAGAGAGCCCCTGAGTAATTCACCACCCGGACGGGGACCGGCCTCGGTCAGGCAGAGCAAAACAAGGCTGTTACGGCTTCCTTCTGCCAACGGGCTGAGGAATAGGAAGTCATTTGGAAATAAACCTCCACCCGGCATCAGGATGTACCTGTGGCAGCTCGCGGCTTTGTGTTTGGAGCTTGTGTACGCGTCGAGGTGCCGTGAAGGGACGGCAAACGCGAAGGTCGGTGTCAAACCAGGCTGTTTTCCGCTTTCTCCCTGCGTTTCCCGGGGGGCTGAGCCCTGAACCAGCCCCCTGGTCCCGCTCCTGTTGCAGCGTTTCTCTGTGGAGCGAAGAAATATAAATAATAAACCCTTCTTTTGGCAGGGCTGCACGCTTGCAGCTTTACTTTGAGGATACCGAGTACGTACTCACGGCGTGGCTGGCTTTCCCAGGTCGTAATTCACACGGGCTCACGGAGCGCGGTGGCCGGTGCTGCGGAGCCTGGCCCGGGCTCAAGCTGCGCCCAGGCAAAGCCGAACCCACGGAGCCCGTGTTTCCGTGGCATCGCCACGCTGGAGGCTGGTTGGAGTTTATTTCTTAACAGCCAAGTCTTTTCTAAACACACTGAACGTGTTATTTTTCTTGCTTGGTTTCACGTTTTACTATTACAGGCGCCTCCAGTGACTTCTTGTCCTTCCACGCGCGCCGCTGTGGTCCTTTTCTTCGTTCCCTCGTTTCCTCCGCTGGCAGTAAGACCCAGAGCCTCTTTGGGCTCGGTTAATTATTTCACCCGCTGCCATATCACGTGCTCCCTTTGTGCAGATACTTCCTCTGCCGAGCCCAGCCCTCGCATCGTCGCTACGCTCAAGGTTGGCTTTCTGATCCGCTCGGAAACGTAGCCTGGTCCTGCGGCGCTGCTGGCAGCTCCCAAGGAAAGCGCTCTGGCTTTCCCCTACGCGAGCGTGCCCCGCGTCCCTTTAGGAACAGGATAACTGGGTTTGGGGCGCAGGTTGTCCCTGGGGATAGGCAGCGCGCTGGCCACCAGCGGCACTGGGTGGCCCTTCGGAGCTCGGTCTCCCTTAATCTCCACACAGACGTGCCGGGGGAGAATTAGCCGTACAAATTTGCATTTGAGATAATCCCCTCGAGTGGATTAAGAAGTTGTTTCTGCTCCTAACGCGAGGGATGCTCTTTCTCCTTTGTGTTCAGCTCAAAGGGTTGAACGTATTTAAAGGGGCTGTCCAAGACCTCATTGATTTTTTGGATGGATACAGGCGGCTGGGCTCTCAGTGGAACTAGCCCAAACTCCAGCGCCGGTGGCCAACAAGCACTCCACTACCACCAGCTTCATCCCCCAGGGAGCGCAGCCGGCGTGACGTGGCATTGCACGGGAGCGGGTCCGCGCCTTAATATGAGCCCTGTCCTCCTGCGTGCGCTCGTGATCCCGGAGCTGTGTTTTCCAGGATCTTCTGAAGCGTGGGAGAAGGTCCTGGGTCTGCTCCATGGTCCAGTGTTGGGTCAATGGGGGTTTAATTCCTGATTCTGCTGCCAACCTTCTGCCTTCAGCAGCAAACCACGTCCCAGAAATTTTCCAAACCCGCCCTATGCTCCAGCTAGCGTAATGACAATCTAGATGAAGGATAAATCCTCCCTTTTCCCAAAAATGGCTTTCTTGGGGTGCGGGAGCTGGGGCCGGGATGCGCTGCCGGCCGGGGGCTGCAGGTGGGGGTGGGATGGGTGAGCAAACCCCCATGAAGCGGGTGCTGCTGCTGACCTGGGGGACCCCAATTTGTTCCCAGCAGCGAGGGGAAGCTGCACCTCGTCGGTCATCTACCTCTGACGGGACCGGGGAGCGCCGTGCTTACGCCGCGAGAGCCCCAGTCTTGCTGCCTGAGGGTGGGGGCTGCTTATTTGGGGCACTAAATAAAGCGTTTTTTGAAGTCTCTGTGTTGTGAAATCGGGGGAGGGAGTGCAGAGAGCTGCAAGCGCTTCACTGGGGTATTGGGGAGGTCGCAAATTCCTTTGATTTAACTCCTTGCATCCCCAGTCACCTCGAGAGCTTTCGAGAGGAGGAGAGCATGGAGCCTCCTGCTCGAACGGCATCTTGAAGGTTTGAGGAGGGGTCAGGCTGTCTTCCCTGAGGTTAATACTGGCTTTAACAACCTCCCCTGGCCCATTCCGCACTCCGGGGCTTTCCACGGAGCGGGACGGCACCAAGTTCTGCTGCGAGCGGTGCCGGCGCTTGCGGGGAGCTGCCTCTGCCCTCTCAGCCTCTCACCTCGCCGGTGGCTGCTCTCCGGTGACTGAGAGGGGTGGGTGGCTGCGGGCAAATGCTAACGTAGCTGGTGGGGTCAGTGAAACCCCCGTTAGGGCTTTTATTGGCCTCAGACAGGAGAAATGGCACCAGAGGGACGAATCACCCCGACACAGACGCGACCTCAGCGTGGCGAGGGGTTCTCTGGACTGCGCCGTGTCTCCGTTTCGCTCCTGACAGCTCGCGGCTGTGTCCAGCCTGGCCTGGGGGAGCTTAGCTCCAGGCTTAAGTCTGGTCTCCTGGGCTTTTTCCTGAAGGTTTGTCCTATTTCCATTGGATTTGCAGCCCCTGGAGCAGCAGCAGGCGGCTCGGCTGAGGTGACCTTTTCCACATGGGCCACCAAATCCGAGGAAGGGCTGGCCATGGCTAGGAGTGTCCCTGGCGCCTGGTGGCAGCCGGTCCTTGGGCATGGTGGGGTTTTGGGGAGACGCG